TCCGGTGCCCACGTCTCACCGGCCGCCGTCGAAGAAGTATGGGGTTCTTGTTTCACCAATATAGTGTGCTTCCTGGATCCTGGATTATCACGGTCGAATATGTTATATCTCCTCTATGTCAGGTCCGAGAACAATGGTCAGAAATAGTCTAGCAGTCTAATTTACTATGCGAAAACTCTAAATATCAACCAAGAGCCCAATTGACAGGTACAAATATAATTTATTAAAGGAACAAGTTAAATAACAATGTGTCTTTACAGAGTACAGATCAGTATAATATTACAACACAAACAAGGCATCAACACAGGTCCTTGCACCAGACAATAACAAAGGTGATTGACAAATTGTACACAACTTTTCCCAAATTATACACTAATTGACTGTATTTCCTGTACCAATGTCCCACTAATCACCAGAGCCTAATATTCTAAGTCACCTAAATTATAATCTGATATGCAGACCAGCAAAAATACAAGATAGATTCAACTATTAAGATAATGTGTAATAATATGAAAATACAGCTAAATATAAGATGGCAGGGTGATGATTCAGTGCCTTGTATAATCAACACTTTGATACTAAATATTGAACATGGTCAAATACTTTGAATTGTAGAGGGAATGGCTTGACCACAAAGTCCATTTGTTTATACAAAGGTCAGCCAATTCCCAATAAATAGTACACATGTATACTTAACGTCCATCCATCGTTTATACATAGTGTTTGTACCAACCTCGATAATAATTTAAACTAATTAAGTTAATACATTTAGAGGCGTTTAGTATTAAAGATGAATCTCATGGTGCATTCTAGTATGTACATATTATCCTGGTCATTATGGTTTGTACTACCATATAAAAGAACTTTTACATTTTCTCTTAGAAGTGAATCTATATTATTTATTGATCTGGTAAGGTCAATCCTGTCATTATTATATAAAGGACATCTTAAAAAGTAGTGTATCTTGTCTTCATTTAAATAACCACATTGGCAAGTTGAATGTCTGCATTTAACTGACTGACTTTATTTCTTAATTGACACAATATTATGTTTAATTTTCTATTACCTCCACATTTAAAAATTTGAACACACATATCTTCAGCTGTAATAAAAGGTTCTGGAGTTGATTTCAGTTATTATTATTTTTAGTTTTTAGTTGGTTTAGGGATACAGAATTTAAGATAGAGGCATTATTATTGATCAATTGATAAGAAATATCATGAAAAAACTTCTGAGATAAAGGTTTATTCTAGTATGTTAGCAGGTATGAATGACCAGGTTTTTAACAAAGCGTAGACGAAGCGAATGGTCGATTTGATGTGCCATTGTGTACACCTGTAACCAAAAAGTGCACATACTTATAGCGTATCCGAATCAACGTTTTATTGATATTGATTATATTGCTACTTCTCGTACAAAATTTACACCATTGCGTACACAACCTTAACTCGTCATTTGCCTGATGGAAGTAACAGGGTACGTATCGAACTTTTCATCGGAACGTCACACATCAACACTTACGGGCTGTGATACATAATCTTTTTACAAATATGAAAGTGATATCTTCGCGCCAAAGTTTTTCTCAAATCTAAGCCAAAGCTGGGGATCAAGACGGACAGGCATAGGACATGAAGTTATGAACCATATCAGTAACAAGATCATCGTCAGGATGTATGTACTGGTTCTCCGTCCCTCCAGTTATATCCCACATATTCAGAAATGTTACCTTTTCTTGTAGATGCTGGAATTCCTCGAACCAGATCTGTTTATGAACACGCTGTAAATAGTCACTGGGTGCCACCGATTCCCGGTCAAGGATAGCGTGGGGTCCTTTTATATAAATACTCACTTCCGGCGATCGGCGCAACAGGCTTCGAGCGGAGTTGCTAATACCCCGAATGTGCTGCCTAAATACAAATGGGGGTATCCTGACGAAGTGTGCCCATATATGAATCAGAATTATGCTATTGTTGTGACTACCGACGTTGTTAAGTCTATTGGCAACGGACTGCATTGACTTTATCGTCAAATATTGAGAATTAAAGAATGGGTGTTCATGCGGAAACCATGACATGGAAACATTGTATGGACGATTGTGCCCGAATACAAAATGGACGTATGGCCCCAACGGAACTTCATTGGGATAAAACGATAACTTTAATATAACCCTTAGATACGCTACAAAGTTTCTCGTGTTCGAATCGCCAATAATCAGCAGATGTCTGCCTTTCAGACATTGCAGATAGGACCACTCAGTCCGTTTCAAACGACTACGACAATTTACAAAATTCCATTTTCTTTTGTAGTAAAATCCAGTCGGTACTGCCTCCGTCCATGTAGACGCTTTTGGAAGGTCGTGACAGGACATGACACTTCTTGACATTATCTCCGTTTCTGAAAGAAAAGAAAACCCCAATTAGACGGATTTGCATGTGGAAAAATGTAACTTCTGTCTACTTACTGCATTGCAAAATATGTCCATTCGATCATGGGAGAGCAAGATAGGAGGGAGTCTGGTTTTTAACATTTCATTTTTAAAACTGCCATTTGATACATACGTGCTTAAAGCATTTTGTAACTAATTAACCACGTAAAACTTCGTTATACTGCCATCAGTTGTCCATAGAAATGTTGACATTATAATAGGGATTGACACTATATTGATGGTGACAAAAAGAATAACTAAGTAAAGAAATGAAAATTTCGTAGTACCTTCGAATATCTTGGCAGTAGGAGAGATTGCAAATGGAAAGAGGGGCATTATATAGAGGGTTTAATGAATTGTAGACGTACGAAAAAATCAGAGGGATAATACAATTATCATCTGCTAGTTAAGAATAATTCTGAATTCATTTCTAACGTTACCTCCACCTATCTGGATTTTGACTGTATTTCTGAGCACCATGAATTGGTTTCTGAAACAAAAGGAAGAGTGAAAAATAAAAAGCGTCCCTTTAAAGATATGACGTCTTTGAAGTGTCATTATCGTGAGGTGGCGTTTAGGTTCTTTAAACGGACGTAACAGGGGCAAGGCACAGACTGACTCCCACCCCCTATATGCTTATATAGTGTCTCAAAATACAAGCATATAGGGGTTGGGGGCTTAGTCTGTGCCTTGCCTCTGTTGGAAGTAATAATTGAAATTTTCATATTTTTTTGAAATTATTTTAGGAGTTATCAAATTGGTATAAGGTGTGCCTTTGGTTCCTTAATATGATAATCATAATTACAAGATATAGACGAAATTATAGTTATGGCGAGACGATGCTTAAGGTGAAGGGTACCACTGCATCTGTTAGGATCGGGAAGATAAGTTCCATTCGGATTTTTTTTTTTAAATTGTTATACGACTGGGAATATTCCCCCCTTCTAAACAGAAGATGAAGCAACCGAAAAAAAAATCTGGCTTAGATCAGCTTTCCTTGTTAAGTTTTGCATAGACTTTGGGACGCGTTAATTGGACTCTCATTTTGATGTTGTGAAGTTGTGATTTCTGAATGGCAATATTTGTAAAACGTAATGCAGAGGTCCTGAGTTCGACCCCTGCTGTTTTAGTGTGTGTTTTTTTTTTAATTTCTATTTTCAAACATTCCAATTTGAACAAGTGTAAATCTGGAAAAGACATTGCAACGTGATTTTTTATGAAAGACATCTTTTGAGAAGGGTTTACATAAATATATCAAAATAGTGACAGTAGTCATATGATACTTGTCTTTAGTTAGTATCCGCTAACTAAAGGGTCTCTACCGGATTTATGAAAAAGACTATTTCTAAATAAATGCTGTTTGATAATCATGCTAATTAAAATAAGATTATTTTTTTTAATTTTCTTTTACAAAGAATGATAATATATATATAACTAATCGTTAAGTATGAAGATGGATTTCTTCCGTGATATTGATATTATGTCAAGCCCATTCGAACACAAGACTAAAATCCCAAAACGTCACAGTTAGGAATATGATATCTCAATAAAACACATATGCCTATGTTTTGGGTCAAAGTTCATGTAAAGATCCTGACATGAACTTCATTCAATGAAAACACTCTCAGCTGTTTAACCAAAACCTCGATAATTTATTCAATGTTTCAGGTATGAGAAGTTCTATTTAAAATGTTGTTAACCTACCTGGTTTTAGTAACGATGTATTGTGGTAGAAATGTCTTGATTCGTCCACTCACTGCCTTCCAATCTTCACAGCGGAGGGATTTAGGCTTGGCACAGAACCACGAATACCCGAAGTTTTGTGACGTCAGGTTGCACACGTCCGCTCCCATTCTCGGGATCGATACCGTACTACAAAGGGTTTTGTCCGTCTGTCCATGATACCGATCTATTTCATTACTAAAAAGTCCATACATTTCGTATAGGTTTCCATACTTGTTAATTGCAGACATGACGGAAGTGATTGCTTGCCGAGTCTGCGCAATGGACACAAACACGGTACCGTTTCCTTTCCAAGGCAATAGTAGTTTACCAACATACGTTCCATTCCCTATGTATGTAGTTGAACCGATCACATTCGCTTTCAAATTGTAATTTACCAGCCAGATTCGAAGTACATCACCGTCATTTTGAAGTCTTCGACCGTATTTGTCTCGGAGAATGACCTTGACCTTGAAACACTCCCCAACAGTATAATTCTGTTTAAAGTGCATCCTTCTTACCGAAGACATCTTTGGGTCTGGTATAGAGGACAGATTTATATCAATGATTCCATTGGTTGTATGTCTTCTCAGAGTTGAGTTCTTCTTATAAACAGGAAAGTGCGTCATCTTGCCCAAGTTGTAACTATAAGTTTGTGTACTGGAACAAAAATATAACAACAGTCAGTCTAACAGATATTTATTTTATCAAAGATCAAACCTTGATAAAACCTTTATAAGCGATGCAACACACATTTTTTTATAATATTTTATTTTTGATTGTCGATAGCATCGATAGCAAGAATGAGTAAAATATGGATTTAAATTCAATGAAACAATGTTCAATGCTGTGCTGATAACGGCCCACTTTGCTACTACTTGGTCGGCTTTTGCTCGGGGATATGACAGGATACATTGATTTTCAATTAGCTTATAGCATGATATTGCAGAACGGACCCAGCTAATAGTTGGCGTTGTATGTTTGTTTCTGCATGAGTAAATATATTTCTTTATGGTGAGGAAACACATATTCACACTTTCATTTTCAGGAGTGTCATCTATTCCGAATATAAAGAAAATACTTGACGATGGCAAATCTTTATTACAATTAGTTACAAATTGTTGTCTTAAAAATGACCATAACGCACTTGTTTGAGGACAATCGCAAAATAAATGCGTCAGCGTTTCTCTATTTACCGTACAAATATTACAAATTTGTGTTCCTGTAATGTTCATTTTCATTAGTCTAGAGTTTGTATAGAGTATTCCATGTATCAATTTAAATTGAAAAGTGTGTAGTGTTGTGTCATCTGTTATATTGAAGGGTAGTGTGAAGTACATCTTCCAACTGTCGTTTGTTATGTCTAATCCCATTTTCCCTTGCCATTTTTGCATAGATGAAATAGGGAGACTTGATATTGATTGACCAATACTGCATAACAATCTCTAGTTATCTTTTCTTTCCCTTTTAGTATTTGCATATATTTGTTTTCTGATACATCAATATTTTTCTTGGATGTTTTAATCACATTTTCCCATGAATTTTGGAATAGATGCTAGTAAGCCATAGTACTCAACGAAGTTAATTTGGATATCATATTGAAGTTTAAGTTGATTCACATCAATAAATTCACCCCTGTCATTAACTAAGTCTTGAATGAAGAAAATATTATTTTCTACCCACCTTTGATACAGTACATACTGATTGTTTATCTTAATTTTATTGTTCAACCATATTGGTGGTGATAGTATTTCTGACGGGGTTGTGGGTGGAGCACGCTCTATAGAAGCCCATATTTTAATAATATTACTCCAGAAAGGATTGAAGTGATCTGCTATGTTGTTTAGGCCCTCGCTATTCATGTACCAAATTGACTCACCACCAAATTTTTGAAGTTTATCAGAAATTAAAATTTTCCAAGGAGAACTGTTGTTGGGGTCTAGTAATTTTTGTTATCCATGTCATTTTTATCGCTTGGCAGTATGATTTCACATGAGTGAGTCTAAGGCCTCCATTCTCGTATGAGTTTACTTTCCCTTTAATCATGTCAATTTTCCCTGACCATAAAAAAAAATAAAAAATAGTTTTCGGAGGTTGTTAATGAACACATCAGAAAGGTCTGGAAGTACTGTAAAAATATGTGTGAATATTGGGAGTGCTAGTGTCTTGATCACCGTGACTTTCCCTATGTAACTAAGATTTCTAAAAACCCAGTCATTTAATAGTTTTTTAACAGATTCAATTTTTTCTTCAAAGTTTTGTAATGTTACATCCTCCTGGTTCAGATCGTATGTGATCCCAAGGAGCTTAAATTTCCCTCTGTGATTCCAAAAAAATATTCTTTTCTCTCAAGTATTCTACCTCACAACCCCTAGCCAAACTACATGTGGTTTTCCTAAATTTAATTTCAATCCAGAACATTCAGCAAAATAATCTAAAGTAAAAAATGTGTCCTTGAAAGATTGTTCATCATCTTCAAGACAGAGTGTCGAATCATCTGCATATTGACTTAGTAGGTATTCAGAGTGGTCAATATTAAGCCCTTTAGGTAGCAGTGTACAGTAGAAATGGCTTGACCCTAAATATAAAGGGAATGTCTCACATAATCATAGATAGTGAATTCAACCTGCACAACACACCTACATATATATACATATGTATAAACTACATTTTGATTTCATTTTGTTTAGAAGACTATTTTTTTTATTCAAAAACTGTTTTCCCCAGATTTGGGACCTGTGAAAACCATGGTTTTCACATAAAAAACACCAAAATATGCAAAATATCATGATTTTTAACCCAAAACTTGACACCCGCAAGTAGAATTGTTTTTCTTAAAACGTGTCTGAAATTAAATATCGCCTACTCGGTAACAGAAATACTCACGTTTTAGCATAGGTCATTTCGGTTGATTTTTCACAATATTTACACATGTGCTAAGTACAAAAAAAGACTACATGAAAACCTAGCTTTTGTTGTGTAGACACAGATTTGTAAATGCCCAAAACTGTATTCTCAAACCAAATTCGATTTTTTTTCTTTTTTTAAATTATGAAGCCCACATAGTCCACTTCATCATGTATATGCCAATTTTAGTGCTGATTTGTTTTTAAAATTTTGAAACATGTTATATTACAGGGGTTATTCATTGTATTAAAATGTCACCCATGGCCTAAGGAACTGCTTAGTAATTCCACAGATAAAATGAACAAATATGGGGAAAGAGGGTCCCCTTGTCGAACTCCTCTTTTAATGTCAAAACATCTTGATCCGTGACCATTATTATAAATACAACTTGTAATATTTTTGTAAAAAGTTTGTATCCACTCCACTGTCTAATAATAGGTCCAAATCCTTGAAACGTTAGAGCTTTTTGTATAAAATGCCATTCTAGAGAGTCAAATGCTTTTTCGAAATCTTATAGAATAAGTAGCCCTGGAATATCTTTTTCATTAGTCTTTTCAATAAGATCAAGAATAAGACGTGTACATTCACCTATATATCTACCTTTAATGAACCCTTTTTGAGTATCGCTGATTAAATTTTGTAAAACTGGTTTTATTCTACTTGCAATACTTGCTGCTGCAATTTTATAGTCCACATTTAAAAGAGATATTCGTCGCCAATTTTTCAAAAATAGTTTTGACTTTCCGTCTTTTGGGATACAATTAATTACGCCTTGTCTCTGAGAAATAGATAGTTGTCCTATTTATAATGCTTTGTTAAGAGAATTTATAAGAGGTTCATGTAAATCATTGAAGAAAATTTAATAAAATTCAGCTGTGAAACCATCTAGACCAGGTAATTTAAAGTTTCCCATATTTTTTAAAGAATTTAAACATTCCAATCTACTTAAAATGACATTCATCTTATCAGCTTGTTCTGTTGTTATTTTTTTGTTGTATGGGTTTTCTTCATTGAAAAATAATTCAGAATGTGCGTCATCAATGTTTGCAACACACATTTTTATATGATGCCAGAAACCGAATTTGTAGAACAAGAGTATGTCCAGTTTAGATAAAGAATATCATCCTGAAAGCCGAATGATGTTTTCAATTTGCAAAATATCACTTTTTTAAAGAAAAAAATGTTTTTGTTTTGTTTTGCAAATTAAATTGAGGTTTCTCTTGTGAAACCAATTTTTATTATAAATACTTACCACAGTCATTATAATGCATATTCCAACCTTACTTGGCTCTTTACATACGTAAATAAAGATCCTCCCATAGGGAACCCATGTAAAACCCACCAATCAGACGGCAGTATTCACGCACGTGATCAGACACGAAGCCATGCTTCCCACTTCATAATTCCAAAGCTCAAAAAAGTGAGAGCCAAGGAGACAAGAGGAGGCTGGGAGGGAACTTACCTAATGACTGTGGTAAGTATTTATAATAGAAATTGGTTTCACAAGAGAAACCTCAATTCTATTTCAAAATTCGTTACAACAGTCATTATAATGCGAATTCGACTTACCGCAGTGGTGTCTCCGTGGAGCGATGAAGGGTTCCAACAATAGGACCCACACCCCCGGAGGAAAAATTCAAAATACCTTTTCTTTTGTGACACAGAGCCTGATTACGACCAGCGTTCCGGATCACGCGGAGAAGACATAATGAAGGTTATGCAAAAGAAGAGGGAGGACAGCCAACGGATTGGGCAGCCACAAAAGGGCCCAAAGAATACAACCCGTCAGACTGTCCCGACAAAGATCGGAGATAGAACTCCGTAAACATAGAATGACCGCTCTAAACAGCAGCTGTCATGGCCTCAGCGTAAGAAGAACCATTAAACCGGGAACCTGGTTCTTAGCTAAAAAGGAGGGATCAGTGGTCACTGAGACCGAAGTATGGCCAGCCGAAAAACGAAGGCAAGAAGGAGATCTGCTGAAAGCATGAATCTCCCTTCTGCGGCGACCGGAAGAAAAGACTATCAAGAACACAGTCTTGAAAGTAAGAAACTTCCGATCCGTCGCCTGGAGGGGCTCGAATGGCGCCCTCAACAAGACATTTAACACAAGTGCTGAATTCCACCTAGGGACCAATTGCCGTGAACAAGGCTTCTCAATGTAGAAGCCCCTAATGAGAGCAGACAATGAAGCGTCCGAGCCCACAGACAATCTGATTAAAGTCATCTGTTACATGGCTCCGCCTGAACATCTGAATGTGCCGCGGTCAGGGTCACGTTCAGGTGACCTTAAGATCAACCAATAAGAGGCGCGCTGGCAAAAGTTTGCCAGCGAATCGGAATATCATGGTTGATAGATAAATAGCGAGGGGTATCAAACAGATTAGTTTTCCAAAAAAAATATGGTGGCGGGAACTGACGTTTCTACGACGCCAAGGAAAACGTACGCATTGGGTAATAATTGCTAAGGCAAAACCGCCATACAGTCTTTCTTCTCTAATAAAGCTTCGAATATCTTTTTCTGTTCGGGTTTCAGACAATCAATCTCAAATAACTTCAGAACTTTCGCATCATTCTCATCAATGTCCTCCATATTTGTTACAACTCCGAGCTCCCTTTTGAAAGAGGGTCTCTGATTGGTCAAAATTTAATGAGTATTTATTAATATAAAGGTCACCTGAACGTGACCCTGACCGCGGCACACTCAGATGTTCAGGCGTAGTACGAAGTTAACGATTTTAATCAGATTGAGC